TATTTATGGCAACAACATTACCATGACTATTGAGTCATATGTGAAAGTCCTGTATAGACTTGAGTACCAGAGATGAAAGATAATTAAATCATTTAATTATATAAAGTTGTTGGTAAGATGTGGTACAACCAACAAAATTCTTCCTGAAGAAGTAAAGTACGGAATTAAAAATAGAACTTTGTGTATAATGATAATATACAAAATGATCATCTCGGTTAAATAGATTATGTGGTGAACATTATATAAGTTAGCTCATGCTTATAGACGAAGTTATAATGAAACCCTTAGTTAAATATGAAAGAGTATTATCTCGACTTGAAGATCGAGCATCTCCTAGAAGGAATATTTGTAAAGATCCAAAGAAACTAAAAATATTATTATTACTGAAAAACAAGTACATAAGGATCATATGATGGAAATATAGATAAGAGGTTGTGAATCCTCAATAAATATGCGAAAAATATTACATAATAGAACTCATTAAATAAGGGTGCGTCTCGAGATATAAACTCCGTAACTCTGCCACCCATGATTATTATTCGGGTTCATAATGAAAGATCTAAAGGATCAAAAACTCTTTTTCGCTTGACCCCTTGTGTTTCCACAGAATCTTGAAATGTGATGCATTCTTGAAGCTTTTTGATAAGCTCAGCAGACGTGTCTGCAGATTTGAATACTTCTCTCGTTAAAGGAGATATAAAGGTTTGATATACTCCTTCGTCTAAAAATCCAAGCAAACCATAAAAATAGTTATTAAAATTCAATAGACCTATGGGCTTATTATGAAGTTTCAATTTTGCCCAAGAAGCAATGGTAAACATTGTCATTAAAGTTCCATAACCGCCTGGAAGAATGATAAAACATCGCTATTGTTCACTATATCCATCATACAGTCATAAATAGAATGAGTTAGCATCAAACTTGTGGAATATTTGACGACCCTTGTTGAAGCTCTATGAAAAGGTATGATACTTTTCACTTCTATATCAAAACATTTTCCAGCCATTAAAAGGTTATCAAAGAAAGTGATGCTAGTTCCTCCATACAGTAAATTGATTTTTCAATTTCCCATCTCCCTTACTAGTTGACTTACAATATCAATATTTTGAGAAAAACTTACCAGTTTAGAACCACCAAGAACACACATGGTTTTGATCGGATGAAGAAATTTATTACCTTGAGAAGACTCTGAAACATCCATCTATTTATTGATAAACTAAATTTTGTGAGTTATATGATTATGTTAAATGACTTGCTATTTAAAGGGGATGTTTCACAAAACGATAACCAACAGATAAGGCGTTAAGTCTTCAAAGAATCTTATCTGTCGGCAGCTATAAGATTTTTTGAAAATTACAGTACAACATACTAAACTGTATTTTTCATACTAGCAAGAACAATTTTTATAAACTTGATCTTTTGAAACAATATTTTCGAGACTATAACGTTCTTCTTCATTTTTGAAACGAATCCATAGAGACATAAGCTCACGATGCACATAACCACTCGGATGTGTCTCAGGAATCTGTTGAATCGTTTGATCCATAGATTCTTTACTCAATCCATCCTTTATAAATGATATTTTATCTTCTCGATTTTTGGATACGAACCCCACAGATGTACATCGTGTGTCACAAGTCCATCGAGCGCATTTGTAGCATCCACCTAATCTTTTTAATCTTCGTTTCTTTGCAAAAGTACTTTTACCCATACCTGGCATATATTTGTATGAATTCGGAAACTCTCCAGACAATCGGACTTTTGCTTCAATCAACCATCGAATATCATTTGGAATATTATTAATCATTAGCACCCTCAATCTTTCTAATCGAGATCGATAAATTCTTTTTATGATATTTATTGAGAGAAATGGATAATATTTACGGATATTTGAGAGTGCTAAATCAATTTGTGAATTCGGACCTTTGTTAAGGAAGATTGAATGATTTACAAGATAATTTATAGAAATGATGCGTATGCGATACGACTCTAAAAGCAGAGCTTATAAGTCTTTATGTCAGAAGGCATGATACGCATTCTGAATTTAGATATTATGTGCACTTGAAGTGCATTTATTGCCGCCGAAAGATGATGTGATATGTTTGTGATAAATATGAATTATTGTGATGTTTACCAATATAAATAATGATGGTCTGCATGATTAACATATATGAGACGTTTTGTTCTCGATTTGTGAAAATTATTACTAGCTAAAAATTTGTGAATCAATATGAAAAGGGGGTACGATATATGGGCCCACTACCTCTTCCATGTGTGCTATTATATATTATGGATCTACTAGATAGACACATGATTATATAATTCGTAACCTGAAGTTACAAGATGTTTTGAGAAATGAATATGCATATAACACGTAACCTGAAGTTATGAGATAATTATGAAATAACAAAAATAAGTGTCATATGAAAGTAATAAAGCTAGTAATATATCTACTAAAACGATGAACTCTTGAAAGAAAAATGTGCACATTACAAGTAATATGAGTTCAAAGTTCTCATATTATATATACATATTGAAATCGAGAACGAAACGGAGAATATATGAATTTCTCTCAAGAAATTCAATATTGAAAATACAGATCAGAGATTCGTTAAGACGAGGGGGAGAATCAATGATTGAAATTTATCACACTGGAAGTGTGCAAATAAACTGAATGATAATGATAGAGGTGAAATATGTGAAATATTATGATGGTGGAATAATACGCTGGAAGCATTGATATTGTGATAATTATGGTAAATATATGGAATACGCGTTGTACTCTTTTTCCCTTAACTGAGTTTTTGTCCCATTGGGTTTTCACAGCAAGGTTTTTAATGAGGCAACAGGGATGGCGTATTCACATCAATAGTGTACTCTTTTTCCTTCATTAGGATTTTGTCCCACTGGGCTTTTCCTAATAAGGTTTTAACGAGGCATATTCATGGTATGATGAGGTCTACTGAATAAATGATATGATTCCTCATGATGATAAAAAGATATTGGAGTAGTTGTACTCTTTTTCCTTCGATCAAGTTTTTTTCCATTGGGTTTTCTTGACAAGGTTTTAATGAGGCAGCACGTGGATACTCCACTAAAGATGATATATCTGAGGGGGAGCAATGTTTTGCTTCTACAATGATCAGGTTTTGTCCCACCGGGTTTTCCTGAGGGAGTAATATTGTGATTCCATTATAATCAGGTTTTGTCCCACCGGATTTTTCCTGACATGATGAAGCAGCGTTACTTGATGGGCACAAGATACAATTCAAAATGTTTCGATTATGTTATGTTAGAATAATAATTAAAATTTATATAGAATAGTCATTCAAGGGGAGTGTTATAATAATAAGCATGAGGTGCCTAAATATATAAATTATTATATGTGAATGACTATTTTGCCCTTGATGTAATTGTATTATTATGATTGTGTCATCAGAAGTTTTCCTATAAATAGGAACTTCAGTTATAATGAAAAATACACCAATAGAATACAATTTATCTATTCTCTATATTCTCTCTTTTATCTCAAATTTTATAATAATCTTTACTGCCTAAGCAACTTACAATTTATTATAAATTTTTCTTTTGCAGTCTCTTGTCATGAAACCCAAAACTCCAAGATAACTTTTACAAGTATCATAGATACATACACATTCGAGAGTGAAATTCGTGGTCAAAACTAACATTTATGCCTAACAATGGAATGATATAATACAACAATCAAATGTTTCTAAATCAAGCAATCACTCAAAAGTATAATATACTAATTTCACCCACCAGCTTCAACTAAAGCTATATCCTTGGATATACAGTACACTAAGCAATAGACACAAAAAAGAGAAAATTACTTCCTACACTATTAATTTCAGTTTTTATTACACAATTACATATCTATTATAAATATTAGCATTCTTACCTAAAATCATGTTATTATTTGTAGATATACCAAAAAATAATGTAATAATTAATTACATATTTTTAATGAATCAGTTTCTCTCCTCCAAATCATATCTCTCTCTTTATCTCTTCTTCTTCTTCTTCTCTCTCCCCCTCCCACTCTTCTTTTTTCTTTATTTCATTCCTCATCACAAAAGAACAGAAGAAAAGGAATATGAGAATAAAGAATTGTGGCGATATCACTATACAAAGGGAACTTCCGCAAAGGGTCCGATGTACTTCGCCGATGGCCGCCACCGACCCCAAAGCTTTTGCTCAAAGACTTCAAGATTCTCCTCTACCGCCGCGACATGGCGCTCGCCCGCCTCCGCTCGTCCTCGGCCGAGGCCAATATCGATGTCCCGACGACTTCAGGCCCTAGAACCGACCGCAGCCCTAGCCCCGAGCCCAATCGTGCTAATACTATTTCAATTTATGGAGATAACGAGGTGAATAAAATCGATGGCGATAATCATGCGAGCAATCACTGTTCCAAACCTGAATTGCTACCGAAGGGGAATTTAAAAGAAGAGGTGAATGAGGTGATGATAGATGAAAGAGGAAATTCACTGAAGAAACTTATGGTATATCAGTATATGTCTCTGCCTGGGATCTGGTCATGGTGGCGGTTGACGGGGGTATATGTTGCGGGTATATACAATATATTTTCAGTATATGTTTCTGTCCGGGATATATACATTATATTTTAAGTATATTTTCAGTATATTCGGGATATCAACAACAAACACATAAATATGGAACATATCTTTGCAACCAAACGATAATAAACAAGATCACATATGTTATCGGTATATAAAACATAGATTAACGTGTTCTTAGATGTGCAAATAAATAAATAAAATACGATAATCATATAAATTGAATGGAACACTACACTTGAGTTTCTCGTAATTCAAGTCGACTGTAAATCTGGACACAGAAATATACATAAAAGATACATAAAATATACACTCGAGTTTCAAAGATCATACACACATATACATAAAATATACCCTTGGCCATTGTTTTCTTTTCCGATATTCATTCCAAAGTAAGCAAATTNTATCTGATAGGCATCTTTTCAATTAATTGTCATATAGTAGGTACAAATGCAACAAAATAATTATTAATGGTATATTTACAAGTATTTACAATCTGTAAGTAAAGATGAAATTTTCCCAAGAAAAAATTCCTTGGCACAAATTGTTACCTCCATCCATATCTATGCTTCCCAAAATGCCACACGATAAAGTTGTCGGCATACCGAGGATATTTTTTTCTAATCAAACCTTTTATGCATTTCAAGTACGAAAAATCGACAAATTCTCCATCTTTACGGACTATGAATAAGCACCTTGAACTCTCAAAATCAGGATGGTATCCAATCTGTCCATCAGAAAAAAATTCTGAAAACCCATCAAATTGTATACAAACAAGAAATATATAGCTTCATGAGGAGCATTTGGATATAAATAAAACACAAACCATGTATTGCTTTCATCAGGTGGCTTCCTCATCGCCAGCTATAGTTTTAGCAAGTTAAGGTCACACATCATAAAAATGCAATCAATAGGAAGATAGTGCTGCATATTAATCATGAAGGACATAAAATTATAGAACAAGAAAGCACTATCATGTCCGAATACATGCTTCAAAAGCAGGATGGTTAAGTACTTAAGAAGCATGCTTGAATTTATTGCTAGATGCTAAATCATATGCAACACACCAGATAAACACAATCTTCTCATGTAAATATGACCCTAATTATATAAACTAGTATTCGACCTGTGCAAATGCACATATATAAATAAAATATTGTGAGTTATTTGTATGCATATAATGATTAATAATTTTTCTTGCACTTTTTTGCAGGCCAAATTTACAATTAAAGGCCTTGGAATACAACAACAACAACAACATACCAAGTATATTCCCAACAGGTTGGGGTCTGGGGGGTCAGTTGTACGCAAACCTTACCCTTATAATTATGCAAAGAGGCTGTTTCCGTAGCGACTCAAGGTGCATTGCGCCGTTTGATATATATATTTTTTTTCTAGAAACTTCACTAATAGAAAGAAGCACTAGAATTTAATTGAGCCATTTTGATCTAGTCCATTATTAGCACTATGCCAGGAGAATTGTTAACAATGACTCTTGCAGCTCCATTTGCAATGTACAGAATTAAAGGCCTTGGAATATTTATTTTTTTTAAATTGCGTTTATCTTATTGGATGTAATGTATATTTTAGTATGTATTTTTTTGTGAATTATTTATTATTTATTTAGAAATTTCAAATACGTTTTTTTATTTTCCAAAAGAAGTTAATTTAAATGTAACCACAACAATGACATCTAATCACGTTAAATAGTCAATGTCAGCTGTAAGTAAATTAAAAGTTTAAAATGATTTTTGTAATTTTGAAGTGATTAATGTGTTGATTATATAATAATTAAATGAGAGGCTAAATAAATAAAAAGTAACGATTTTTGGAGGGAAAAAGTTATATTGCCACATAGGTATAATTTAATAGGTTTTATTAAATGCTCATGAGCCAGTAATTATATATATATATATATATATATATTTATATATATAAATTACCATGCATCAATTCAACTTTACTAATGCCATCAAACTCAAAAAAGGCAAGATGAACCAAATTTTAGAATAGACAGATTCATGATCAAAAGTAGTTCAGACAAGAATGAACCAAATCTTATGCCGTCAGTTGGTCCTCTTGATTTGAAAAAAAAAATAAAAAAATGCCATACCGTGATGTAATCAACTCCACATCCAATCTTCTCTTCACACTCCGGATGAAACGGAAGTAGCTTCTCCAGTATGGTTTTCTCATGCTCAGGACTCAATTTATCACCAGTTCCATATCTGCAGAAGAATAGATACAACAAGCTTTCTCTTTTTACCTTAGAAAATCAGCATCACTTAATCTATCGACATTAAGAACAAGACCGAGGATGTTGCACTTATGTAAATATCAGAAAGCCACATTCCAGATCATGACTTAGACTACATGCAGTTTCATAACTGATATATTAAAAGAGTGATTGAAGAAACTTAGGTCTCTAGAAGAAATGAACTCTTTAGTAGACGATAAAGTAGTTGAAAGCTGAAAGTTCGTAGTGTTTTCGACATGAACCTAAATGATGATATATATGAAAGAACACCTCTTTAGGTAAGTCCTAAAAGTGGTTATGTACTTGTAACAGACGCAACTAAATGCAAATATAAGCACTCCTCTCCTAATCTTTAAACAGAAGATGAAGCACAATGTAGAAACACTAAAACTCATTTTTCTCCTTTTACCCGGTAAAGCCGAGTATTGCCTTTTAATATGTGATTCCAAAATCACTAGATCAATCTCAAGCCCCAAAAAGATCAACATGATTTACACAATCATCAAAATCCACACACATGAAACTTACAACTCTTTCATA